TTGTTTCTTGCCACCAAAAGAAAAGGGTCAGAGATCAGGATCAGCTGAAGATCAGCTACACAAAGAATACTGGCTACGTTGCTTGAAGAAGACTCACTGGTAGGAATGTTTAGCAATCCCGAGAGTTTAAATTAGAGCCTTTGTAACGAAATGTGGTGTGTGCGTTTGCAAGCGTTTGTGTGGCAACGAATTTAGCCTAATGATACGGCTAATAAACTAGGGTGAAGCGAGGCGAAGAGCCCGCTTACAAAGGCCGATGGCCAACGTTGTGACCTTCCCTTGGACGCTTGGCAATTTTTTAAAATCATGGCCGAGATGTACTGGGGTCACACCTAATTAAAACAGCCAAGGATTTTATCTGTGTTTGGGTTTAACACAGCTGGTTTATGACTTTAAAAAAAAACATATAAAGGTAGTTATTGGAGCAGAACTGTTACTGTGGTTACAAAATGTCTCAATTCACAGCTCATGAATAACCATAACATTCTTAATCTCCATGGAAACAGACTCCCTAAACCTATGTACAGTAATTACAACCCTGTGGATCGTCTTTAAAGTGATTTGTCCCACATTGAGGTTCTCCGTTAATCGTTTAAAGGCAATCTATTGATCTATTTATGAACACATGGAAAGGTAAAACGTTAATGATTTTTTTCTAAATAAAGTATCCGGCTGAGATAAAAAACTATAAGCAGATCCAAGCTCTACAGGGGAAACAGTCAGTGTGTATTGTACCGTGAAGAATTCAAAGCAAACTTCTGCCCAACTATGGATTGCATTGTTGCATTTAAAGCAAAATCTCATGTCAGATTGTTACCGTGCGTATGGAAATGAATTGAGAGCAACAATATGCATGTCAAACCACAGAAAATGGAAATTTGAGGGGAAGATGGCATTTACGAGCACATTCACGATTCAGCTGAGCCATTATGGAACAACAGCTTGCATAATGCTATTAAAGATAGTCTGTTTATGCACTTTTCAATTATGTTATATAAGAATGAGCACACTGTAAGGTTAGACACATGAAATCCCTGCTATTATTTTGGGAACTCTGAGGATCCATTCAGCACTTTCACAGTATGAGGTGGAAACTAGTCCAGACATCGCAGACTGTATAACCTGACAAAGGCAGCATTGCAAACTGCGGTAAGTATTCTCTTTTATCTGTCTCACATCCCTATGTACCACATGTCACAGTTTGTTGGATTACTTTATTTTGAATTAGCTATTTACAAATTGAAAATGTGCACAAAATATGTAGGGAAAAAAAGCATTTCCCATTAGAACGCTATTTAAATCTTTACCGTAAACCCATTTTAGACACATAGTGTAAAATGGCCTGAATTTGAATTTCTGTTTTGGACATTAGAGGGAAAATGACATATCCCTCAGGATTATGAAGAGAGAAGGGAGCAGTGAGAGTTAACCTCCATTCACATGTTTGTGCATTGACTTTACAGCTAAACCAGTTTTCAATTAAAATTAATGTTATTCATTAATGATCTACAAAAGGAAGAAAATCTTGTCTTTCCTTCATCAGGACCAGAAATACACACAAAAACACTAATGCTCATATACATTTGTTTTTCATGCTAGGATGGTCTTTTTCTTTGGTTTCAATGAGAAGCTACTGACTACTGGCTCAAACAAAAAACAAAACAAAACAAAAGTTGCTCTTTGTGTCTAATTGTCAGCTTTAAAATGATTTTTTTTGCAATATCATCAGAGATGGCCGCTGTATGTTTTTCATCAAACGCTGGAATAATGTGCTGGTAAAGTCACGTGAAAGATAAGAGCAGGCAGTGAAAGCCCTCCATTGTGTGGAGTGTTATCTTCTCCTCGCCACACGGTGACAGTGGACAATAAGCACCATAAAAAAAGAAGCATAGAAAGAAAATAAAAGCCACCAAACAGCAAAGAGATATATACATATTGAATGACTAATACTATACTTTTGTTATAAGGACTGGGAATATAAACATTGATCTTTCAAGGTAAAGGAAATGTGGAAAGAGTGATATGAAAAGCTGTTGCACAGGGAGAAAAAGTGACTAAGTCACACGTTTTCAGAAATCAAAACCAAATCAAAATCTTATTAACAAGTTCCGATGTTGCCTTGAGGTTGCACAGGTGCTTTTGAAAGAGCTGACAGTCACAAATAATGACCTATAATCAGAGCCTCATACGGGCAAACACGGGAGCATACTTATGCACGGTCGATTGTTTATTGACGGTTTTCTTTTTCCCACCAACCGCTTTCCCCTTTTTGAAGTGGATTGGAGCTTATGTTCCACGCAGTCAGGGGACGTTAATGAAACACTAACTGCTCGATGTTAAAAACAAATTGACCACCGACGTGAGCGTGGACGCCACTTTTAAAGGGGGGAGGCCTGAGGTTGAACAGTAGAAACAGAATGTCTATCTTTCTACCTCCAAGAAGTCAAAGCAAAATGGAGCAGTATTAATCCATTTATGTTGGATGGAGCTAGACTGACAAAGCCGTAAGGTCAGAATGATTAGCGTCTAGTCTTGGGACAGAAAAAGAACACTCATTATATTGCCAATGTGCCCATGCGTCTTGTTTTTATCTAGATTCTGCAAATGTGAAGTATCGTCCGTACAATCTCGGCTAATTTCGAACATATTCAGTATTAGATTACTGGAGGGAGGATGTCATTTTGGCGGACTCGTTTTTACAGCGCTGCCGTCTACTTCCTCAAGGGAAAACATTTCAACAAGTTCCGCTTCCAGCCTCCAGCGCGCGCGGCGCGGATCAGAAAACCCTCAGGGACGCCAGATAATGTTCAATAGCTCTGTCCCCGCATATGAAATCGATTAAATAATTATGAGCTTGGATTCTGGCGTTGTGGGAAATCTACGGTTTCTGGGCAATGTGTCTGGAATGAGCCATAACACACACATCAATACATGGGAGCCAAGTACACACAACAAGAGAAGCTGTACTAAATACTACGAATAATATACAGTAGTACAACTCAATGGACTATTGTGTTATGGCATTTTATAGTTGTTTCCTGCTAGATTTGAATGGTATAGTCCAGCATATATATATATCTATATATATGTGTACAGATATAGATATACATATCTACTTACATATCTACTCCAGCCCACCATCATTCTACTTGGAATAAGCAGGTATAGAATATGTATGGATAGAAATTGATTATAGAAGGGCAGCAGTGAGCGAGCAGCATTACTGGAGGAGTAATTATATGGTTTACGGGAGTACAATGTGGCCACAGACTTTTCTTTTGTTTCTTTAGCTCCCTATTTAAGATCCTGCAATACATACAAAGATTTACAAAGTGCCACTTTTTTGGAGAAAATTACATCCTGTCGCGTTCCCTTTTGCAATAAAGCTGAAGAAGCCTCTGACTGAACAAAGAGTGGTTATACACAGTTAAAGTCAGGAGTAGTCTGATTCGTTTTCTGTGCTGCTGATTCCTAGGGTTGGGAGTGTGGGCTGGAGCCTATCCCAAAAATCTAGCATGTAAAAGTAGTAGTAAAAGGACTCTTTTCGAACACTCAGTGATTCAGTTGTCCTGGGCATTTGTGAAAGTCAGTATGAGTAAAGAATACAACACTTTAGTATAGTTGTGTACAATCTACTGGAATACAAGACATCAATCAAACCAGGTGGTATTGGCTTCAATTCAAGGCATTTAACATTTAGTCATCCATGAAAAAAGCGGCCGACAAAAATTACAACAAAAAAAAAGGCCCAATTGAAAATATAGGATCTGTAAATGTTTAACGTTCAAGTTGCAAAAGAAAAACATGGATAATATCAAACTGTGCTGTGTGAGGCGGGGTCCAATGTCAAGTCTATTACGTTAGTATAATCAATCGGTGTTCATTTTTCATTCTGCTGGCAATTCCAAGCTGGACGTTGATCAAACAAATGACCACTGTAAACTTTTGGCCACTCTCACCACCCTGCTAAGAGAACTCTGCGAACATTTCCTGTGTGTTTCAAACTCTGGACCACATGCAGTAGAGACTTTAAATTAAGTACAAACTGAAGTAAAGGAGTTGCTTAATTTGGCCGTTGAAAAAGCTCCAGCTTGAAAGTCTGGTGACATCAGAACCAAGTCTGATGTGTTGCTCTGTCCGTGGTGCTGAAACGGCCTTGACGTGTCATAGTTTGCACCAATTCCCCACTTCCTCGCCCCTTCTTTCTGTTTTCCATAAATAGCTCTTTTGGTACCGCTGTGATCCTGAATAATTTATTTTTGCGCCGTCGCTCCGTTTTGACATTTGCTCACATCGTCCCCGCGCAACAGCGGGCAGGGGCATGAATCCCTCATCAGAGAAGCGGAAAGGTCAAGTGATATCGATCTCGCCGTTCAAACACGGCTTTCATATTGTCAGAATCAAGCCGCCAAAGTTGGGACCGAGTCGAACATGACGGGTCACTTCAAAGCTCGTTACCGGTAGACGGCTCTTGCTCCTCTGAAGCCTCTTTAGTGATGGAATCTGAGGGGAAATTAGACCCGGAGCAGACTGATTTAAGACGGCAGGAGTAATATGTGAAGCCGAGGAGGGGCAGGGTGCGAGTTCGACAGTTGGTTTGCGCTCGTTCTGTGGTGCGTAAAACGCGCGCACCGGGGCGGGGACTGCTTTGGAGAGGCGGCTCTGAGGAGCACATCAGGCATCTACAGGTTGCCTCCAGCAGCTCTCCTCCTCCGTGATCGTTTCCCTAACCCGGTCTAATAACGTTTGACATAAACTGAGAGAGCAGAAGTGGTTCCGATAAGGCTAAAACACTTTCGGACTTAAGCGCAGACGCTCGACGCAAAAAAAAAACAAAACAACAACAGCCGGTTGCCAGCGGTCTTCACAGCGATGAAACTACACGGTGAGGGACTTTTCCTTTCTCACCGGCGTTTCCCCGGGAGGCTGTGCGTTTCAGTCGAGTCCACCATGGCGCGCGCCCCCCGCAGCGGCCGCACGGCGCAGGAAACGGCGACATAATGGCCTGCAGGAGCGGCTGCTGCTGCGCCGCGGGTCCCGTCAACGAGGACAACGCGCGCTTCCTGATGCTGGCGGTGTTCATCGTCGTGTACCTCCTGTGCGGGGCCGCCGTCTTCTCCGCGCTGGAGCAGCCCAAGGAGCGCGAGGCCAAGGCGCGCTGGGCGCAGAGGTTCGACGCTTTCTCCCACAAGTACAACCTGAGCAAGAGGGACTTGAACAACTTCCTAAGGAACTACGAGGAGGCGAACGTGGCGGGGATCCGCGTGGACGCCATCCGACCCCGATGGGACTTCACGGGAGCTTTTTACTTCGTGGGCACTGTGGTGTCGACCATTGGTGAGGCGGATAAAGGGTGTAAAAAGCCACCTGAGGGTCAGATCGGTCTTTAACTGGGATGTTTTGATGTGTGTGGGTTGTTTTCAGCCTTTTCACATAGTATTCCTCACTCTGCTCATTTGCTATTTGACGGTTTTAACACTCTTTTTTTTTGTTGTGCTCACAACATGATCAAGGCTTAAAAAATTCACGAGTCAGACATTCTTGTTTGAGCACAAAATGTGAATTTAGGGGGAAAACAGAGAGGAAGAAAACTCCTTCAGAGCAGCATCTGTCTTGCCCAATTTGCTCCTAATGTCAGAACTCTGTCTCCATGATCGTCTGACAGCATTTGAGTCATTGGTGTCAGCACGGCAGGCGGAGAGCAGAAATCGAACCCCCCCCCACCGCCTCTGATTTGAGCGCTTATTCCTTCTCTCCCCTGCACGATTTGCCTGTCAAACATCTGATCCTTAGCAGCCGGCAGTGTGAAAAGGCCTTTTCGGTTGATGACAAGCCGGTGGGGCCACCACCGTGCGAATGGGACCAAGTCGTCATAGTCTACATTGGGTGGTAAACGCTCCATTTGCAGACTGACGGAGCGTGAAAAGAGAGAAGTATCATACCACACACACCGGCGCCATCCTTTCGTCTTACTTTGCGTGTGAGACTTCCAAAAGAAAAGAAAAAAAAATAAATTTACCCCAGAAATTCACCTCTCCTTTCACTCGCGTTGCATTTGCGTTGCCTCCTCGATAAACAGATATTAGAGATTGCTCGGTGTTTGAACCGTGGATGAACTTATGTTGCAGATATGATGGCAGACCAGTCAGCAGAAGTAATGTCGTGATTGCTGTTGCCGACTCTGAATCCATTTCTTGCAGGTCAAGGACTCCATTGATGTCAAATCTTGCGAGTTTAGTCATGCCCAACCTTTACAGTCCTCTTTTCCTTCTTACGTTGTAGACCTGGATTTTGTGGCGCGTATAGGAAGTCGCCTAACAAATGCAACCCCCTCGATAGCGCCTTTTCGCTAAATAAACTCACTTGCTCTCTTGAGGGGAATTAGATTTGTTGTCCAAAACAATCCCAGTCGTTAAATCCAAGGCGTCCATGATTCTCGGGGGGGTCCTTGACTGCTCGGACTGATGAAATTGGATAAAATGAGACGGAATTAAATTCAGCGGTGGGGCAGACAAACCAGGGAAAAGGCTCAGAAACAGAAACAACACTGCACAAGCAATCACTGTTTGATAGCTTGAGTTTGAGGCTCACTCCCCTTTTCATATTTACACCCATTATTTCTTCTCTTCCATTCTTTAAAAAAAAATTCAACTCCTCTTTGAACACAGAATTAGCTACATGAAATGGGAAAAATAGTAATAATTCACATCAAAGATCGCATAGAAACTGGAAATGGGTAAACAAGTCTAAACACGACCACATCCACCTGTAGCTGCAGATACTTTTTTCTGCTTTTTGCATTAAGTAAGCTTCTGGGATGCTGTTGGGGGCGTGCAACTGAGTTCACAAGCAGTTACGGGTCTGATATTGACTTTACATTGACTGTAAATCCCATCACAAAAAATAATTATTTCCTTCAAAGATCAGCTGTTAATGGTGAATACTTTTCTCATACTTTTTATGTATAATATAGTCAGACAAGCAGAGATAGGGCAACAGAGTTTCCTCTTAGCAGGCATCCAAATATTAGCCAATCAGAGGAGAATGGGGTTTTAATGTAGGAAGGGGGCTTAAGGAGAGTAAGCTGTTTCTTTTATAGAGCGCATGTGGTAAGATGGCTGTGTAAAAAGACCCAGCGTGGATTTGTCTGTTCTTTATCTTTTTTTAAACCGCGAGTCACAAAAAGCTACTCTGAAATAAGAATAATAGCATAACAGGTACCAGAGATGGTGCATTTTGAGGCAAAGACAGATTTTCAAAGTAAAATCCTGAACTACCATAAAAAAACAGCATAATCCTGAAATTTTGTAGCAAACAAAACAAACATCGACACCAGTGTCATCATGACACGACAGAACGCTGTCTTATTTTGTACCTGTCAGATACCGTGTGCTTTTTTTTTTTTTTTTAATGGGCCAAACGGCTCATCAACGTCTCATTTACCTGGGTTTGTGAAATGCGAGTCCAAGGAAAACACATCTGTAAAATCCAGCTCATTTGGCTTTATTGACGTGTTTGGATGAAAACTCAGGCTCAATTAGCACCTTGACAACCCCTCCGAACAAAGAGGCAATCAAACCTTCCACAAGAGGCCTGCCTGTGGCGCCGCGCCAGTCACAAGGCATAAAGTGTTTAGCAGCTCAGTGTGAACGGCGACATATAACTTTCTTTTTCTAGTGAAAACGGACTTGTGCGTTTCAGTCATTTACACCTGGTATACTTGTAAGCAATACATTTATGGCATGCAAAAAAATGTGATGGGTTTGATTAAGAAAAAAAAAAGTAGATGACCTTTTAGTGTTCAGTGAGGGGTGAAAAGGAGATGTCACTGACATAAGTGCACGGTAATGTGACACCTCTCGCTCTGAATCACTTATTTGCATATTCAGTTATGCAAGAAAAACAAGTCACATGGAAGTAATGTCTCATATTTCTTTTAAAACAAAAAATAAATATAAACATGTATGATGGCGTGGTTTTATGTTGCCCAAAAAACAAAACAAACTGAAAATAAAGAGAATTATTCGGGCAAACTGACAAATGTGCAGTGACTACAGTCACAAATTTGGACAGAAACACCTTGGCCCTCTTTGTGAGTGTTAGCAAAAGACAGATACATTTGGAGAGCAGAGCAGAGGATGTCACCAATGGCAACCCACTGGAGGGAAGCAGTTGAACGAGCGCAATTTTAACTTAGGGGAAAAAGAGACAAGTAATTGGCCATTTTCACTTATCGGTACCTGGATTTGCATATCGTTTTAAAGATAAAGCAGCTTGAGGCTTTTAGCACTAATCTTCTCAACGAATTACCCACGTATTGACTTAGATTTACTGGGATTCATTTGTAAGAGAATGTCTGTGTTTGGGTGTGAAATAAAATAGACGTATTACATAAGCCATGGATTTTTCTAGTAAAAGTTTATGCTTCGCGTTCAGCGTTTCGATTTGCCCCTCATTCTGATGTGAGAGTAACCAGACCTGGCACGCTGACCTCTTGTCCCGTCACTGCCCTAGAAGATGTCCACTCATTGCATAATGCTTTGTCTGTGTATGCCAGGGTTTGGGATGACCACTCCGGCCACCATCGGAGGAAAAGTCTTCCTGATGTTTTACGGCCTGCTGGGCTGCGCTGCCACCATCCTCTTCTTCAACCTCTTTCTGGAGCGAGTGATTACCGTTATCGCCGTCGTCCTGAAGTCCTGTCACGAAAGGCGGCGTAACAAGGCCGTGCTGCCACAAAATGGACAGCGTGTCTCGGAGGGAGAAGGCGGCGCTGGCGGAGGAAAAGGGGAGGATCTCGCTGGCTGGAAGCCCTCCGTCTACTGCGTCATGCTCATTCTCGGAGCGGCGGCCATTTTGGTGTCCTGCTGTGCCTCACTGATGTACTCCGCAACTGAAGGCTGGGGCTACCTGGACTCACTGTACTTCTGCTTTGTGGCCTTTAGCACCATTGGGTTTGGCGATATGGTGAGCAGCCAACGAGTCATATACGAGGGCCACGCCACTGCGGCATACCGGCTGGGCAATTTCTTCTTCATCCTGACTGGCGTCTGCTGCATCTACTCCCTTTTCAACGTCATCTCCATCGTCATCAAGCAGGTTCTCAACTGGCTCCTGAGGAGGCTGGAAACCCCTTGCCGCTGCTGCTTTCCCAAGAGGGGTCACCACCCGCATCGGCACCCCCGACGCAACGTGGTCGCCCCAGGCCACCTCCGTGCCCGTAGGGACCCCTCCATCGAGACGGACGCCATCAACGAAAGTGAAACCGACACTGGCCGCAGGATGTCTGGGGAGATGATCTCCATGAGGGACTTCTTAGCAGCCAACAAGGTGAGAACATCAGGAAAGGAAGCAGGTTCTATCTCACAGCTAGTGCGATGTTAAAATTAAAAAAATGTCAAAAATGAAATCCATCCATCCATTTTCCATTGGTTATCCGGGGTCGGGTCGCGGGGGCACCAGCCCAAGCAGGGAAAACCAGACTTCCCTCTCCCCTCCCAGCTCCTCCGGGGGGACCTGAAGGTGTTCCCAGGTCAGCCGAGAGACATAGTCCCTCCAGTGTGTCCTGGGTCTTCCTCTGGGCCTCCTAGGACTGAGCTTCTCAGTCTATCTCTTAGGGAGAACCAAGCCACCCTGCGGGGGAAACCCATTTCGGCCTCTTGTATCCGCAATGTCATTCTTTCACCACTCCCCTCATGTGCGTAAATTCCTTTGAACAATAGAGTTGAAAAAAACTAAGGCGTCTCAGTTCTGTCCCCGAGTAGAATCTGTTTTCTTATACTCGTGTTGGTTGGCTAGGAATAGGGCGAGATATGTTCTTCTTTTTTACATGTACGAAAAAGCATGAACTGTGGTCTTCTATGAACTAAAAGAATCCTTGACTATTTAATGGAAGCAAAAGTCTTGTCATGAACTCCCTCACAAGTCAGAGGAGAAATGGTATGTGGCTTTTCTTTGGAAAGTTACATAATTATGACACATCATGTGCATTCATCCCACAATAAAGTATTCTGCTTATGTCAGATGAATCTGAGGGGCAAGCTTGTATTCGAAACTGAATCAGAAGCCAGAACACAATTAATGAATATTCTGGTTAAAAACCTTAACATGTATGGCAATATCTTGCTATTTACCTGATCTTTAAGGCCATACTCAATATCAGATCAATATCAGACCACATTAATCTGAAATGGATCGTGTTAAGAGTAAGGATTCTCTGAATAAGCAATGAAGAGTATTGTGATTATAGTCAGACTATGTGGGAATGTATACATTTAAATTGCACCAAAATGGTCTGTCTGACATCTAACAGTATCACAACAGCACAGAGTTCGGCTGTGTTCTGTTCAGGTCTCTGGTCAGGCTGAGTTTAGTACAGAAGAGACGGGCTGAGGTATAACAAAGACGAAGAAACCCAAGTAGGTTAATGCCTTTTCGAGTGGCACAATTATAATTAAGGCTGTGGCTTTTACTATTGCACTTACATGGGAAAAATAATACGAGAGCATTTTGTAGTTCATGAGTGTGATTAATTGGAGAATGCCTCGCATAATGTTAGCAGGAATATGAATGGGATGTCTAACATGCAACTAGTGAGCAATTTGAAATCGGAAGTTCATTTCAAACATATAAAGGTCAGAAGTGGGAACAAAGCTGTGTATGTTCAAAGAGGAAGTACTGAATAAGGAGTTCCTAGCACTTTTTCTTGGCATTTGCCACTCAAGCAAGTTGGCATGTTTAATCTTAGCAAAGGTCAACGTACGGGTTACCAAGCAATACGAGTACTTTCGAACTCAGATCAGCCTCTGTCATGTATAAAATGTAGAGGTCAGTCCAGGTGTTTTTTTATTCAGGGGGAGAGGTAAGTTAAGTGCCTGCGTATTGGAAGCATTACAAGCCTGCTGTGAAATTACAAAGAAAACTGGAGAGGTATTGAAGTGTGTCAAAAGTCCACTTTCTTACTTTCTAGAGAAACAGCAAACAGCAAAAACACAAAGTGGTGTAGGATGATGTCTGAACTGAGAAAAAACAAGTAAAAACTAAAGGGAAAAGAGAGATTAGTGTGGATTTAAAGAGCTGACTGTAGGATCATCATGTATGCCTGGCCTAATTCTTCATGTAATGGCATCAAGTGTAGGAATTTCTGTACAACAGAAGTTATTGATGCTATTTGGCTATATGCATATTGTGTGTGGGCCTAATCCTCTACTGAATGTCGAAATATATACTTTTACCCAAACATTTATTATAATCCAACAGAAATATGCTGTGGTTATTTTTCTATTTACTTTAGAAACCAGACCAGCTAACCCTTTCCTGTCAAATCTGATATTGGCAGACTTGAATCTGAGTGGGGTTTGAACATCAAACTGAGGGTAACAGCCCTCAGTTTGAGGGCTGTAACCTGCTTGTTGAGGCTGCTCGTTTTGACTGTTGCTGCATCTTTGCAAAATTAAGTATTTATTCAGATTCATGCGGTGTTGGCAGAGCAGAAAGTTAACAGAAAATCCATTTATGTTGCTCCTTTCTGAGGGATCCTGCTAACATTTTTTTATTGTGCCTCAAAATTTGCCAAGTTAGAATATTATCATTTTAAATAATGCTATACCATCTACATTTGATGGTATATATTGTATATTGATGTATACATACATTCTATTTATTATAGACATATAGAGATTAAACTTCTCAAAAAGATAGCCTGCTTTACACTATATCCAGGGGATATATTCAAAGCCATGCTTACCCTTGTTATTCTTTTTTCTGTCGGTGTCCTTGCGTCTTAGTGAAGGATAGTGCCAGAGTCACTGTTTCATCATATAACTTTTAAAGGAATATTATATGAACACTGCAGCCAACAGTGTGCCTCTCTAGTTTCCTTTGTTCTTTGGAAAGTTGAAGCTTGTGCCTTTTTAATCACAAGGTTGACGCTGTTTTGTAGAACAGTACGGCATAGAGTTAAGTTATATTGGCTGACATTTGGACAATTTGATTGGTCTGAGAATAAAATAGATTGAAAAGTTGAGCTTAGAGGAAAAGAAAACACCAATCAATTACTCTAATACCATGGAAATAAACAAAACAAGACCAATTTTTACGAAATACCCGTAAAAGGGAGCCATATGAGGCGGACTTACAGGTTTTAGTGGCTTCTAATGTTGCAATTTCACAAAATAAGGTCCTAACCGTGACAGACAGCCAAACACTGATAATCTGCATAACCCTTATTGTTAAAAAAGATTCAATCTAACCACTACATCCTTATGCTGATACCACATCTCTTGATAGTTTTGGGCATATTTCTATGTTTATACCTTTAGATATAATCAAGATAAGACGTTAATGCCAGTATGCTGTCACACTTATGTCTTAACATTCTGGTGTTAAGTGGCACTGGGAAAGATTATCTGCTTTAAATAGTTGGTTTTCGGTTTAATATGAATAAGAGGTCTCTCTGACCATGTCATCCTGCTTTTGAGCCTTCAAGAGTAATTATACAACAAGGAGATTATACAACATCCTCAGAGGAGCCATAGCTTCTTAAAGGCTACAACGTGTTTAAATTTTCAACAAATATATTCAATTAAATAAAGACCTAAACCCTTGTTTAATTAAACTGCTTCGGGTATTAATAATTCATTAGCAGCAAGTTCTTGTTTTTGCTGCTAAGCAAAACCAAGAATGTGCGCACACAAAAACGTACACTTCTGCTTTAAATATATCTCGAGTCCTTTGTTTTTGCTTCCCCATAATTTCCTTTTGAAGAACTTTTTTGAGGGGATAGTTGTGCTAAACTCTGCCTTAAGGTAATTTGTTCTGTGATTTGGTGAGGTGGTGCTTAGCACCATCGCCTCTAAGCAAGAGGGTTCTCGCCCATTGAATACTGGGTTAGGCTCCATTACCCCCGCGACCGCCATTAGGGAGGAAGCGGTTACAAAAATGGATTGATTGATGGATGGATGGATTTGACGCAAATTCGTTAGTTTTTGCTTGTCCACATGCAGAAGTAAACAGATTATCTTCAAAATCTGTTACAAAACAACTAACCCTTCCTGTGCTTTTTAAAATGAGATTACTACAAAAGTCTGTGTGGATTCATGTCTAGCCTTTGGTTGTTTATTTGTATTTACCAAAATTTTGGGACTAAGTGCACCTAAATATAATCTTCAACCACTAACTTTAAAAAGAACCCCAAAAATATGGGACGCACTTGTCTATAATATTGATAATAAACTTTTCATTAAATATGTACCGGTACTCTTACCGTAAATGTTTTTCTCTGACCTGTTTCGTAATTTCTTTGTTCTTATGTGACAAGGCAATAATCTTTTAGTGGCGTGAGGCTCGTTAGCCTGTAAAAATCCATCAATTAGCAGCAATGAACCATTGTTTAAGACGCACAATTCAAAGTTTGTGAAAAAAGTACAGTTTATAGTTTAGGAATGAAGGTACATTTTCCTTTGAGGTGCACATAATGAGTAACAGTGAAAAATAGGGCTGGGTATTAATAAAAAAAAGATAAACTTCAAAAGTTGGTACCGAAAGACTAGTTAAATTTTGCTAGTCGGTACTACTACAGCAACAAAAAAACTGGAGCTCGGTACCCAGCCCTGTTGAAAAAGTCACAACTCATTTGGCACAGCTGCTCTTCACTCCAGGTTCATTTATGGTACAGAAATGATATATGTCTGTGTTTAAGACATTCATTATGACCCAAATACATTACAGCATGCAACATTTACAAATGCAATTGAAAACTAAGATTAGCCGTTTTAGAAATTCTTCCTAACCAGAGCTTGAGGGTCCGACACAAATATCACGGCAAACCCCAGAAGACTTTTGTTTTCACCCGTCCAAACAACCAAACAAATAAATAAACCAAATTAAAATGTAAATGTCAGCTGGAGGATTTCCCCCAAGCATCTCATTAGCTACAATTACACATAGCTGCATTCTAAGCGGCTGCTGTGCTCTTTGTTGCACATTGCTTTGCGGGCTGGGAAATGAAAGGGAAAGGTTACTGTGTGGGAGGGTAAAATCTGCTTTCTTTGAGTCACGTTTGTTCAGAATCGGTCACCTTTCTTTTTGCTTTAACGGCAGAGGACGGATCCCATCTGTTAGCTTTAAATCACACCTGTGAGATCAAGATTTGCAAGCCGTGGATAGATCGCGTTAATTTGTGTTTCAAATGGCTTTGCGGGGTGTATGTACAGCCACCATACACTGGCTGACTTTATTTTTCTTTCTTTTTTTTTCTACCTGTAGGTGAACTTGGCCATTATGCAGAAGCAGCTTTCGGAGATGGCCATTGGGCACCCTCGTCAAGCCGGCTCAAGCTCGCGTCAGAACGGCTTCTCGGGAGGGGTGGGTGCCCTGGGCATCATGAATAACCGGCTGGCAGAGACGAGCGTGGACAGATAGGGGGCGGCTGTGGGAATTTCCTTTCGAAGTTACAGAACAAAGATGAGAAAAAGGGGTCGGAGGCGAGCGTGAAAAATAAACTGATGCCGAGAGAGGCCGAAACCCCAACAGAGTCAATCCATCTCAGCCTACCATCCTGCCAAGAGCCTTCCTGATGTATCGGCTGTTTTCACTGGAGTCTCACATCTGGACCGGAGTGTGGTGGAATGTTCCATCCCGAAGAACCCAGTTTCCATGGTGATAAAAAAAAAAAAACCTGCCTAGAGCCTTGTATCTAAGATTCTTTAGACATAACTGCAACTTCCTCTTCATCTGCCGTCGTTAACAGCACTCACTACGACTCCGCTCAAGTCCATAATGTATCTGTCACTGTACTGGGGATGGAGATAGCTTTAATAAAGTGAGTGTTTCCTGGTTTTGTGTGCAAGTGTGGTGACTAAATGAAGGGGAAAAAGGGAAACCTAATCCAAATCAATGCATAATGGGTTCAGTATTGCTATTGTATTCACACACACACAGTAAACTCTTTAATGGTCTCTTGATTTTGCTATCCTTTGTCATTCTCGCCACTTAAATTAGGCCAAAAAGAGAACTCATTACAAACCTAACAGACGAGAGGATCTAACCGAACAATGTGTGTCAGCTTATCATCGAAAGCGCAAATGCAAGCGTGGGGATGTTTTCCCGTTGTTGTCCACACCTGCAGGGGGTTGGTATCAACACAAATGGGATGGGAAACGAGTAAGGGCTCATGATCTCATTTCTGTCTGAGAAGCATTTATCTGATATTTATCTTGTAGACTGGATACACGGAAAGTCCTGGAAGGACGAAAGACAGATGGATGACACTGCTACTAATGCTCCCCTAGAACCATTGACTTGAATCCTACAAGCAGTAGAGAGGCAGGATTACTTGTCCGCACTCCATCATGCTTGACGGAGGTGGTATAGGTGCCCCTCCTCCCCTCCTCTCGGTCATGCATTTGTGAGGACTCCGAAATTACAGGATAAGAATGCTCCAGGTTCCACTTCTGATGTCACCGGCTGAGCATCGGACTCAAGTGATTTCCAGACGATGCAAATCCAGAGGAAATTATATTTTTCGTTTTCTTTATGTTGGGGTGATAAAGTGCCAACTGGGCAAAACTGTGAAACTGCATTTGCTAAATCATTTGTTGGTTTATGTCACAAACTGAGAAAGAGGAGTTTTAACCTTCTTCTGCTTGTAAATATGTCTTCAATTTTTTTATACATACATATTGCTTTTTTAATACATTTTTTATACATATACATGGGTTAGGAATTGTACATGATCGCTTCCTTGATCTTGACTTGTAGATTAGACCTTAAAACTTTAAATAGTCTGCATTTTACAGAGAAGCAAACCCTGCATGCACGCCTAAAAATTCAGCTTAAACTCAAAAGCAAAGAGGCAGAGGGATCAAAAGCCAGAAAAACGTTATCCCACTGAGGAAAAAGCTACTTTTTTATTTCTTAGTATGTACAACATCAATAAGATTCTACATTTTTTGACGAACTGTGATATCATCCATCCATTATCAATAGCGCTTATTCCCTCATGAGGTCGCGGGGGGAACTGGACCCAGAGGTCAACGGGCGAGAGGCAGGGTACACCCTGGACAGTCCGCCAGTCCATCGCAGGACAAACAACCACTCACACTCACATTCACTCCTAAGGGCAATTTCCCCAATCTCCAATCAGCCTAACATGCAGGTTTTTGGACTGTGGGAGGAAGCCGGAGAACCCGGAGAGAACCCACGCAGACACAGGGAGAACATGCAAACTCCACCCAGAAAGGTCCTGGTTCCCCCGGGATTCGAACCGAGAACCCTCTTGCTGGGAGGCGACAGTGCTAACCACCACACCACCGTGCCGCCCTCCTGTGATATCATGTAATCAGGAAATCTTAAAAAATGTATTGGAATACAAATAGAATACATTCAGTTTTAGGATAAGGGGCCTATACTGTGTAGTAGTGTCTCGTTCTGACAAATGTAAGACACTACATCGAGGATCTGTGTGAAAATTACAGCAAAACTGACCATTTTACTGTGCATAAAAATTATATTAAAATTAAATAAAAATGTGCATTACATAAAAAACTAAACCACTGGCAAAACTGCATCTGTGGCTAGAGTGACAAACCCTTTGAAATGGCTTCTTAGAAAAATGTGGTTACTTCAGTCGGGTCATTGAAAACTGTAGAAAATGCATTTAATCCCATCTTTAACCTACATTTATATTTAAATCTGTGACCGCTGTGTCAAACACACAATAGAAAGTTGAACAGCTTGAAATCACTTTCTGCTATATTGGCTTTGTTTTAAGAACACTTTAACGCGAAAAAGACGTTCTCATGAAAACTTTATTTTTCTTTCTCCATATTACTTTGCCCTAAAGATCAAAGAACATGAATCATTTACAGTTCATTTTTAACTCTGCTATTTTTCAAACTTTGAGGCAGCTATACTAGTCACATCATTAAAAATACATAGCAGAGACAAACAAAAAACTCTGAGAAAAGTGATCATTATGAAAATCTGAGCAGAGGGAATATCTTGAATTTGATCTTTTTTTATTCACTTGCTAAGGAAACAACTGCTCCCTCACACTCATGCTCTCACCAATAGTCTAATAGAGAATCATAGAATATATCAGAAAAGCTGTGCCTACACAGACAAAATTAGCTTTGAACCAGCGCCTGGGAGCTGTGAGGTTCTTGTCATTGTGTGTCTGTGCGCACAAACGCTGGTGTGTATGCCGTGGCAGACACTCGGACTGATGGAGACTCACAAAGAGTCTTTGTTAAGCTTCTATTCATAGTCACGACAACTCCAAGAGCGTTACCGATACCGCATTGTGTTCGAACATAAACGCTAATGGAAGACGCGTGTTAATTCTGCTACAACATTCATGCGTCAGTGCAAATAAACATTATAGTTCTCATTAGCCTCACAAAAGCAGCAGGAACACACTGGAAATGAGTAAAGCCATTACCGAGGGTGATAATAGAGACTTTGTTGCAAATATCTGAATCACTGAAAAGGAGCTCTTTTTTTTAAGGGAGAAGCAGCATTTGGCTCAGACTTGTTATACAGTATGATGCTTAATCTGTAACAAGACCAGCATTTACTGACTAAAAAGGAGACGATGCCTACACAAAAAAAACCCAACTCCGCACAAAAGTCGGAACAGAGTGTAAAATGTCAATAAAAACAGAATGCAATCACTTGCTTGCCAAAGGTTGACATGAGACATTTTACAATTGGATTTAAATAATTTAATCCAACCATCCGTTTTGTGTAGCAACCCCCCCTCCACACACACACACAAACACACACTTTTTGATTTTCTAACCGAAGAAGAACGTTATCCCAATTTAGCAAAAGTCCCATTGACCGGACCTCAGACCAGTACCGGAACATGGGTGTTCTGCCATTGGACCACAGAAATAAATATAAATATATAACAATAATTGTGTAATTTGCCGCCACTCGCGAAGGAAAAAAAAAATCTTCACGAACACATAATTCTATTCATGTAATATTTGTTACTGGTGAAACTGTATTTCTTTCCAACCTGTCCATGACGATGACCGAAAAAAAAAAGTATACAACTCCTCAGTATTACACAACATGCAGACAGTGTTCTTTCTGTGGACCTTCGAAGAGACTCTAGCTCTCAATGGTGCTCTTTTTTATACCCCATCAAACTATTGAAGAGGCAGCTGCTGTTTGTCCAGTCGTTCCTTTCTAGTCTCTTTTGATTGACCCTAAAATCAAATCAAAGTCTCATCTTCAACATGTTTTTTTCCCTATGTTCTATGTGTTAGCTTTGTGAAATATACAAACCACAGTATTTTTGCTTTTGTCCCCAGCTGTAAGGAAAGGGGCAGGAGGGTGGTGAGGGGGGGGTTGGGTCATTTGTTTGAGTGTTGCACAGGACACTCGACGGCAAAACAAGCCAGAACGGCCGAGGCGGCGAGACCCAGGTGGCACGTGCCGGGGATCGATGGCGTGCGGAGCCAAGACGGCGTTTGCTCAGAAGCTAAATCAAAAGAAAGCGAGCGTTTCCCTCTGCAGCCCGCTTTACCTCCTCACAGCTGAGCACCCACACATTGTGGCGTTCCAAGGAGGCGTCCCCTCATATCGCACATCAAAAGCCCACCTTGTTTCCTTGTGAGCCGTGTTCTGAGTGTACATACGTGTGCGTGTCGCTGTCCTCTTCAGTATAAAGAATTCCTCTCTTCTTCAGTTGAAAGCCAAGGACAGAGTGTGCTTACCTGCTGTAACAGCAATCTGGTGGGCTGAGGCCGTATGGATGCATCCCCTGAGCAAGTAAGATAAGGGGGAAAAAGAGTCTATGTTAACTGTCTGTTTTCAAAAACCAATAGGCTGCACAGAATAGATTATGAAGTTTTTATTCTCTTTGGCTTTAAATCCGTTAACAGTTAAGTGCCTCCTTATCTGGCAGAACTGCTTACACTCTACATTCTGGAGAGCTGAGCTCATCCAAAAAGGGACAGCCGGACAGGCCTAAAACTGAGAGCCTTGTGAATAAAATGGAATGACCTGCTCCGTCCTCAAATCAGCGCTGCCCCCTCAATCAAAAACACTAAAGTGCCTTTTTCAGAACCCACTCCTCCTCTTTGGCCTTGCTTCCATGCAGAGAATCTCACCATCCCTTAAGTTTGAACATGTTTTACCATGTATATTGATTTATTTAACTCTTTTAGGCATATTAAAAATGGTGTAATGTTTTTTTTACCTAGTGCTGTACTCATTGTCAACTAGCCTTTTTAAAGGTGCCATTTAAATTATTTTGGCTTGGGTTTCCAATAACTCTGAATATGCTGATTAAAAACAACATACAGTTTGGAATTCAAAAAGTTTAGACAGTGAAAAAAGGTCAATTTCAGCAGCTGGCCTCCATCTTACACTTTATGGGGACAGCAATGTACTCGTACTGGTAAGAGAAGATGGTTTGAACTCAGAGTTTAGGGGGGTAAAAAAAAAAATCATATTTGAACAAATTAGGTGGTGTCATATGGGATTTAAAGTCAGACACTGTCTCTCCTCCCGAGGCAGTTTCACAAGCATTAACACCTTGGATCTGGTATACATCAGCTGATACTTCCCCAATAATCTATATTAGAATTGAAGACGTCTTTTGGATTAGAAGTGAAATGTCTTCAAGCTTTAAGAAGTCTCCTTGCCGTTGAACAACCTCTTAAGATTACTCACCAGGCTACTCTGCCACAGGGCCGTAGAGGCCTCTTATTTAATCTCACTTTCGAATAGAGAATTTTATGTCTAAAAGACATTCAACATGTTCATAATGTGAAGCATACATAGATAGCAAAGGTGCGTAAGTTAAAATTGGTGTGTTCGAGTGTGTTTTTGCAGTACTTAACAAAATGGATCATGTCAAATGTGGGTTGGTAAATTTGCCTTTAGATTTCCTCATTGTAACTATAACAGATATCCATCAGAGGCTATGTTAATTGTTTTATAATTAGGTGTGAGACTTTTAGCTAGGGTGGGGGTTGGTGACAAAAATAAAATGGTCAGAAATTGTGGAAACAAAAAAAACAAACAAACAAAACTCAGACAATGCCAGTAATCCATCAATTACCAGTGCCAAGACAAATGTTTTCAACTGTTGGGACCCATTTAAAATATTGTTAACATCAATCATTTTAAATTAAAAAAATGATTTACCTGAATGAAGTTATGAGTCTCAAAGCAAGAAGACTTCACATCCCGTGCACTTTATGTTCTCCCCGTGTATCCCCGGGCGTGCTTGTTTGGTTAACAGGTCATTTTCAGTTCACTTGAAATGGTGTAAACGTTCAGTATTGCTGCTTTTGTTTGTCCACATATGGCTCTGTGGTGAGCTGTCAAGCTGTGACGTTCCACACTTTCGCACACTGACAGTAGAAATGGGCTCCAGCTCCCCGTGAAATTGGAACGCAGCTCAATAGTAAAGAAGAGGATTGGAAGTTGAAAATCTATTTCTTTCACTTCTTCTGCCCATATCTAATCATCCACAAGTTAGTTAATTTTCACAGCGTGCCTCCTTCAGTTTTAGAATGAAATTACACTTGGTTTTATGGTTGTATCGCTCTGTTTTTTAAGCAAAGAGAATATACTTTTCACTTAATGTCAAGCACTGGATATGTTTGTCCTATAGAGTTGCCGTATGATCTGACGTCATATTCAAGCGACAAGTAACAATGGTAAGTGAGCAAGCAATTTTCATAGCGGCTCTGAATTACATTTTCTTTTTGCTCTTAACTTTAATATTCGGATATATGTCTTGAGTCACAGCACTGCAGATGTTATTTGTCCTATTGTTGTATGCTGCCGGCCATTTATAGAAATTTATATAGCAGAATTCAACACAGATTACGATGGGCTACCGTAGGCTAACGGCGTTAGCTTTTTTAGTTTGACGAAGTCGTTATATTATCTTGAATGTAACAAGTTGTTGTTCTTGGACAGTTATTTACCTTCTTTCTCTTTAATATAACTTCATGTGGAAGTTGTTGTCACGTTTTGAGTTAGTCAATCTGGAAGAAAAACAACAATATAGATTTTCGCTAGCTCCATTCGTGGGTAACAGCTACGAGCCAGCTCCTGTAAACAGCTCCAACAATGATCTTCTTAAATATCTATAGTTTAGGTTTCACGACGGGGGATTGCTATGAAGCTTACTGCATCTCTGCAGTATTTTAATATGTTTGGTGTCATTTTTAGGGTCAAAGTCAGAGTGGAGGCCACGGGCCAGGAGGAGGCAAGAAGGATGATAAGGTGAGTATGACCATAGCTTTCAGGGGATAGAGGTGAAACGTTGTTTTAAAAGACGAACATGTGTATATTTTTTAGTTACTTATGAAGTAAGGAAACTTGGTTAAATGATAAATTACATATTTTTCCATTAATTTGCAACCAATCAAAATTACGTATAGATTTCTCTTTGTAACTGTGCTGATAAATATATTTTTTCACATTAAGAAGGATTACATTGAGTTTTATAGTCAGCATAGTTTTTTAAAGGCGTAGTCTTTGTTTATTTCTCCTGCCATCAAGCTCAGGCAAATCTGTGAGGCAGTTTGAGATAAGTTTTTTTTTTTTTTAAACTGTTCATGGTTTGAGTACCATAACAACAGTAAACTTTACATTTCCCTTAATCATCTTTTGTCCTTTTTAACCGTCCTGCTTTTCACATTAAAGGATAAGAAAAAGAAGTACGAGCCTCCCATTCCCACCAGAGTTGGCAAGAAAAAGAAGAAGACTAAAGGACCTGATGCGGCCAGCAAACTGCCGCTGGGTAAGCAAGTGAAAACATCAGGAGGACCAATTTAGTGTTTTTTCACCGCTAAATTCTGCACGTGGCTCTTTTCAGTGACGCCTCACACTCAGTGCCGCCTGAAGCTGCTGAAGCAAGAGCGGATCAAAGACTACCTGCTGATGGAGGAGGAATTCATCAGGAATCAGGAGCAAATGAAGCCCCTAGAGGAAAAACAGGAGGTCCGCCTTACCTTCCATTCCTCCGTGGCTCTTGTTTGGGGAAAAAGATTGTACAATAACAAGTTGGCGGTTTTCTTTTTCCCCTTTAGGAGGAGAGGTCAAAAGTGGACGACCTGCGGGGAACCCCCATGTCAGTGGGTACCTTGGAGGAAATCATAGACGACAACCATGCCATCGTTTCCACCTCAGTGGGATCGGAGCATTATGTCAGCATCCTGTCCTTCGTGGATAAAGATCTGCTGGAGCCTGGCTGCTCCGTCCTGCTTAACCACAAGGTAACAAGTAGTCACATGGCTTCATTTTTTTTATTCCCGTAAGAAACAACAGAACCAATGGGTAAGCATTAGAATACTTGTAGGGGTGGGATGAAATGTATGTAAATACTGTTCTTCTGTTTTTAAAAACAATTGATTCCTTTGAAGGTTCATGCTGTGATCGGGGTACTGATGGATGATACTGACCCCTTGGTGACAGTGATGAAGGTAGAAAAGGCCCCCCAAGAAACCTATGCTGATATAGGAGGTCTGGACAATCAGATTCAGGAGATTAAGGTATAGAATGGAAAAAGTACAAACCGTGAATTGATATATATATATATGTTCACTGTGTTAGCCTGGTCTGGTGTAACGTCTTGTTTTCTGCTGGTTTCATTAGGAGTCAGTGGAGCTGCCCCTCACACATCCAGAGTATTATGAAGAGATGGGCATTAAGCCACCAAAGGGTGTCATCTTATACGGCCCACCTGGTACAGGTAAGAGTGTTCTTCAGAGTTTGAAAGTCAAAGAAGTCAAAAGATAGTATTAAAATCGTTAAATGCAACCTTTTTTCTGCTCTCTGCTTGACCAAAAAAAGCAGTAGTATTGCATGTTTGGCTGTTTTTCCTTCAAAAATGCTAATCAGGTGTACCAATATGCTGCTACTTGTACTAAACAGGGCCTAACAGCAGAAAGTGAAACATTGTGGCATGACTAAAAAAAAGGCACAGCTTTTTATCTCGTATAAAAAATAAAAAAAACTTTTTAGTTGGCATTGTACACCTCTGCTATATATACATTCCAAAATGTCTGATTGGCGATTGCAAAATTATGACATAACAAAGTTTGTTCTGCCTGCATGTCTGAAAGAGGATATGAAAGATTTATCACATTTGGTTATGAGACACCCTTTTTTGCAATGGCTAACACAACAGGGACGGTGAGGCTGTCATCAACCTCCTGCAGCTTGATAGAACCCTGTTCCCAGACGGTGTAATGAGCGGAAGCATTTTGAGAAGAGGGGGGAAAGCCTTAAGAAGTGACATTTATAAGTAGGATAAATTTCAAGCATTGAGTATCAATGGCTGCTGCCATGCTCGTGAAAACCTGCACATCAACCCCTCCTCCCGCTGCTCAGA